CCCCCCCCCCGGGATCTACGCCTATGAATGTCACTATATCAACAGTGGATCCAATAAATTGAATCCAAAGGGATTAGTTATTATAGGATTCCCTTGTACTACCACCTGCATCACCTTTATACCAGGACACAGCCGCAAGTGCTTCTCTTGATGCATGTGTGAAACCATGTATTTTAAAATTATTGAGTTAGCCCTACTAATTGTAGTAAAATGCAAAACATTAAAATGTCTAGTCATTACTCACAATTGACTGTTAATTTTGAGAGCACTTCTACTTCGGCAAAATAAATTGAAAGTAGGCCTATTATACACAGATAGTAACCTGTATCGTTTACTCCAACATTATGTATCACAAGTTCATTGTTAATATTTACACTGTATTTACTGTTGGTGTCTGTTAATAAGCGATCTGCCATTGTACCATTTGCATTACTTTTGAACCAAAATACATATAAAATACCTTCTGGTTCAGAACCTGTGTTAAACGTCATCAATGCATCTTCACCCAATTTTGTTGTAGCAGGATCTACTGTCACGTAGGGTCTATATTGAACAAGGACACCTGGAACTAAGCACAATTTTGAAACAAATCAAACCACAGATTTAAAATAATTGAAATAGGCCTACCTATTGTAGTAAAACCAAAATAACAATAAAATATGTTTACTTAGTATTACTGTAGTACTATTACGGTAGATGAAAGTTTGTTTTGACATTTCATTTTGAGTCTGTTTGTTGTCTGTTGAGTTTCAGTTTGCATTACTTTTCAGTATAGGTTAGCCTATGCTTGTATGTCATTGGCCTGTCGTCCCACCGGTCAGTCACAGTACGTTGTCGTTGTCGACTCGTAGCTAGCTAGTGTAACTATAATACTGTAGGTCGTCCACAGAAACTTAATCTTTTGAAATTGGTCCTGGTGGCGAAGCCTCCAAAAATGTTGGATGAGTTAAACGTAGAAAAAAACAATATGTCAAGCAGTACACACACGCTCTCGCTGTGAGCCTATTTTTAACTGTTGTAATCAATTGCTCAACACAAATAGTAACCTGTATTGCTTACTCCGATCATAGAGAAAATAGTTTATGGTCTGACAGGACGTCACACAGTCATTGTTACTATTCACACTGTACGGTAGTTACTGATTTGTGGTTTTAAGTATACTCCCTTGTTCTACACCATCTGAATCACTTTCAATACGACAAACGCAGGTTTTTCTCCATGTTCAGATGGGAATTTAATTTTCTTCAATGTAGACAAACTGGGAGTCTATTTTTAACTGTTGTAATCAATTGCAAGGGGGAAATTGAATTCAATTCAATTCAACATAAAATTTATTTCACCAAAGGTACCCCCCGCCCTCCCTCCAAATGGAAAATCCAAAAAATAGTGATAGTACAATGGTGAAAGATCAGCTTAGACTGCCTGGCTCAGCTATATCCCTTTAACTGATATTTATAATTATTATAAACACAGACAAAAATTTAAAATGTCATCGTTACATTGTTCGCGCAGATTTGCTGTAGCAGGATTTACTGTCACACCTAGATTGAGCAAGGATACATGGAACTTGAAACAAAGCATGTTTCAAGAAAGCTAACAGAAATTGTGAAAAATGAAGCAAAGAAGACTGAGTATATGGATCCTTTGAACTTTCTATAATGTAAATTCAAAGTAGGCCTGTCAGGAAAAATTTGGTCCGGGGCAAAAATCGGTCCAGCGGACCGATTTTGGCCTCATAATTACTTGCCAAATGTAGTCCACAAAGCCAAAACTAGAGATACTATGTTCAATAGAACATGAACCCAGTCATTTTTTAAGAGATAACCACTGTGACTTAACATCAACCTGTGAACACCCCATGTTTGGTAGGAGTCTGTCTAATGCAAATGGTCCAATCGTTAGTCACTAGCAATACTTGATAATTTTCACTATAGTTACCCTTGTGGTTTTTGACCTATAGGTGAAGAGTAGTTTTTGATGTTTAGAAGGTCCTAAGGTTCATTCCTGGTAAATTCGAGCTCAATTGGGCTATTTTGAAAATTTGACCCTGATGACCCCTATGTAACCACTGATGCCAGACAGGGGTGTAGGAGGTGTCACTGGTTCAAATTTGATTGAATTCGGTTCAATCGTTTGCCATTAGTATCATTTTGAACCTTTGACCTATAAACTTTGACATATGGGATGAAGAGTATTTTTTCATATTTAGAAGGTCCTAAGGATCATTCCTGGTAAATTTGAGCTCAATTGGGCTATTTTGAAAATTTAACCCCGATGACCCCTATGTGACCCCTGATCCCAGACTGGGGTGTAGGAGGTGTCGCCGGTTCTTAATGACGAAATTTGATTTAAT